GATGTTGTCATCAACTCTGAGACGTTGGGGGCCATTGCTTCTTTAAATACCTTTATTTCATTTTCGCTCTCTTCCTAAGAGAGATACGTCCCAGTTTTGTCTATGTGACTATGCTCCAGAATGTTCCTCCAGAGGTCTCGGAGGCTCTGTGCATTTTTCTTCATTTACTTCTGCTCATCAGGCTGCCTAATCTCAGTCAGCCTACTTTCCAGTTCACTAATTTTTTCTTATACCGAATCCAATCTGTTGAGGAGCCCCTCTAGCGATTTTTTAATTTTAATTATTTTATTTGTATGCTTCAGAACCTCTGCATGGTTTTTGTTGTATATAATTTATATGTATATGTATTTATATTCTGTATTTTTAATAGTTTGCTTTATTTTTATCTTCTTGAGCAATGTGCTTTTCAAAGAACCATCGCATGGAGGGGAAATCACTATTTGATGAGACACCATTCTCATATGTTCTTTCGTTCATTTACACATGACTTCCTTTAGCTTGAACATAGTTTAAATAGCTGACCCAACATCTGGGCTCCCGTGGGCACAGTATTTACTGACTGGCGTATTTCCCACTTATGGGTCATACTCTCTTGTTTCTTTGCATGTCTCCTAATTTTTGTTGGCCATTAGGTATCTTGCATAGTAGTCGTGGATGCTCTGGAAACTGGCTTATTCCGCTTCCCTGGGGGTTGTTGTCAATTTTCATTGCTACTTGTTTTTCTCAATGACTTTTCTTTTCTTTTTTTCTCAATGACTTTTCGATGCTAACCCTGAGAAGTCTGTATTCTTTGTCCCATGTGGCAACTGAAGTCTCGGCTCAGTTTGCTTAGTGGTTCGCTAAGGATTGAATGGAGAATTCCGTAAATGCCTAAAAACAACACGTCTCTCAGTCTTAGCAGAGGGGCTCTGTGTCCATTTTAGGCCACAGATTCGACACTCTGCAGGGCAGTTACCTCTGCCTGAACCCTCATGCCTGCTTTCACGGCTCCTCCAAGTCAGCCGTGGGGGAGAACCTAGGTCCTTCCCAGGTTTTCTTCTGGGATACGCCCAGCTCTGGGCTTGTGTGTGGTCTGTTCGATTCCCAGGAACATGTCAGGGCTTTTCAGTGGCTCCTGCAGACAGTTCTTTCCCAAGCTTTCCCTTTTCGCCTTTTTTGATGAATCGATTGTTTTCCTCGGTTGTTATCCACCACCCAGGAAGCTGTGAGATTATATAATTGCTACTGATTGTTTTTAACAAATGTCCCTGGAGTAAAGGCTGTCCGTATTGAGTTTCAAGTCAAAGAAAATAGAGAAAAGCTTTGTGATGATCATTTCCCATGGAACGATGAACTTCTAAAACAATGACACTTACCTGGAAATGGGACTTTGAGTGAACTCCAACTCCGTTCTGCCCCCTCCAGTACCTGCCAGTGGTTTGACTGTGGTTACAATCTGTGGGTGTTCCAGCCTCCTGCAAAGGAAATGGGGATGGGAACAGAGCGAGTTAAAATGCCACGAAGCTCACTGTTGTCGGTGAGCCTCCATCACTTCTCTGGAATACACATTTCCTGGATTGCTGGAGACCTTTGGTTCATTTCCAGTGTTCTCAATGCTTTTATGATGAAGAGGTTTTATGCAGGCGCTTTCTCTGCTGTTCCCATTGATGTCTTATTCATTTAATTTGATACTTACATGAAAATATTATTTAAGTTTACACTTTCAAATGACTTTTGAAAAAAATCCTAATCTGAGATTTTTCTTGGTCTTTCAATAGGAAAAGTAAATTGTTGAAGTTTATTGCACTCCTGTATGTCCACTCTTATCCCTTTGCTTCATTTTATATTTATTATGTTTCCTCTTTTTAAAAACGTTTTTTATAATTATCTCTTGCCTCTAGTAGTTGAAAGTCCTATTTTCTATATTCGTTGTGAGGTAAGGTGCTGTATCTATGTATCTTAAATATATGTAAACTTATAGTCTAACACAAAGCAATGTAATGAGTGCAGTAAATGCATAAAAACCTATTTTAAGAAAAAGTTAAAAACAATAAAGCGCTATTTAAATTACTGCAATGCACACTGATGTCTCCGGTTTGCGAAGAGGATTTGGGGTAACCTTAACCGTCACAGCTATTATTGAGTGGGTACTGGGCATTGCACAGGAAAAGTGCCTTTCCTTATGAGGTAGCTTATAACTACAACTGTAAGAAGGGTAGTCTTACCATTATGTTATAAATATATTCAGATCATTTAAAGAAGATGCTGAAGATCGTGTCGCTTATAAGTCATAAAATTGTGATTCAGGATCAGTTCTACCAAATTCTAGAGTCAAAGTTAGGCTGCCTCTCGAGTGCCTATCCCTTTTCATGGGGATAAGAATGTAAAGGCCTAAGTTAGTTAGGAGACACTTGCATGTTTATGGGAACAGAGAATAGAAAACTCTTTTTCTCACTCTCTCTCATCAGAGAAATTTTTAAATATAGAAGAGCCAAAGGAAACGCAGTGGTAGATGAAAGCTAGGAAAGTAGAAACATGTTAAAGTATAGCCTGGGAGAAATGGATAGCTGGGACTGTGGACGAAGGAAGTCAGAGAGCCAGGGAACGTGAACCTATGTTGAGTGAAGGGAGCAGATGGGAGATGGGCAAAGACAAGAGGGACCATGTGGGTAGGTGTCGTCAGTTAGAGGGCAAGCCGCTGGAATTGGATCAATCGACAAGAATTTATTTACTGGACTCTTGGGCACTGTGGGAGATGCAGAAGAATGTAGCGTTATCTTGGGAATGATAATGATGTTGACGAGGCAGATGGCTTTGACGGGGGCATGAATGCTGAAGGGAAAGGCTAGAGGCAGAGGCCAAAAGAAAAAAGTTAAGGCAGTGCCCCCGTGGGTTGGCGTCCATGCCAATCTGGAATGGTTGTGGAAATGCAAAGAAGGAAGTGAGAGGGAGCCATGAAGTCAAAGGTAAAGACTCTGAGGATGGAGGGCAGATGATGCCTAATCATGTCTCCTTTCTCTTTCAGCTTTTGTATGACTTTAAAGTGCGTGAAAGATGTACAGGCCTGTTCGCACACATGCATACACATTACAGCAGTGCACTGTATCAGTCTCCCAAAATAGACCCTTTAAGCCAGGATTGGGTAGGTCTAATGGACATGACTAAGACTGACTCGGTCTTACCTCCTTGGAAAGCACTCCAAGAAAAGCTAAGGACAGGGTCGAACTGCCCTTGTGACTTTCTGGGGCTTTGACTGCAGCCCAATGTGTAACCCCTTCTCTGCCGCCAGAGCCCCTCCTTGGGCAGTTTGCCTTGAAACTTCTTTTGTCTTGAAACGAGATTTTTAAAGTTCCTCAAGATATTCCTAAGGAAAAGAAGACGCAGCTTCTTCTGTTGCAGTAAAAGGAAAACAAGGTGAGCTGGTCCTCGTGGACAAGGACCCTGCTTTGAACATGGGGAGCAAGAGACTTTTGCGTGTCAACTGTCTCACATGCATGTGAAAGCTGACCGAATGGATAAGGAAGACGGAAGGAGAAATAATACAGTTGAGTCATGGTGCTGGCAAAGAATACGGAAATGTCCCATGGACTGCCAGGGGAACAGATAACTCTGCTTGGGAGGAAGTGCAGCCAAAATGCTCCCGAGAAGCGAGGAGGGCATGTTATCAAGAGGGGTCCGTTTCTGGAGAAGCCATGATGCTGGGTGAAGCAGAGGGCCTGCAGAAAAAGAGGGAGATCCTCAACAAGATGGGCTGACCTTGCTACAAGCGTTCCAACGTAGAAATGGCTGTGCATGGCACCCAGCCGTTCCCTTCTGCTCTGAAGAGGGCAGCAGTGAGTCAGACGGAGAACCATGATTTCCCAGAGAGGCAGACACCAAGGAAATCAGGAAAGATGCATCCATTTGCCCGAGATGCCAGAGACTGAGCACCGACTGTAAGACACAATATGGCCCTCGTAGGTGATGAAGACAGACGGAATTCCAGACGGTGAAAGCAGTCCATACAGTGACCGAGGGGGAGGGGGCACATTGCTGAACTTCATGGCTGTCAGCATCTCTCAATTAGAAAGTTCAGAAGCATGTTAATAAGTACAGTGGGAGGCAGTGGGAGGTAAACAATTCTAAGTGAAGCTCAATGATTTACATGTTATCTGTAGAAATTGGGAAATCATGGAAGTCAATGCACAAAACCTTCTTGACCATCCTTTCCCCACTGCCTGTGTTCAGCAGGTGCACATTCACGCACCAGGCAGCCTCGGCAGCACCGGTCTGTCCATGGCGATACCGAGACAGTGGTGAATGAGTGCAGCAGACAGGCAGGGCTCTCGGCAACCTGACTTCAGGGGTGACCTTGATGAGGAAGGGGCTGGTATAGAGGAACTTAGGACAATACAGGACCAGAGGAAATCCTAGTTGTGAGTGCCCTTGAGGACACATGCAGGGGTGGGGGGTGGGGTGGGGGGTCCTTGGGTAGAAATCCCCAGAGCATAGGAGCACTAGAGCAGGTCACCGCATCCCAGAGGAGAGGAACAATTTAGCTGTTCTCGAGATGGGAAGTGTTCGGCCACAGGCACCTCTACTTTCTTACAGACCTCAAGGCAAGCAGCATCCAAAAGGAATTCAGCAGAAAAGCCCAGTGCCTTCTACCCAAGAGGAACGGAACAAGTACCCCTAGGTTAGAGATCGGAGCTACTTCCTCCCAGTTGATTGCAGACCCAAAGACTGAGCCGAGGTCCATGCTATATACCCTATCTACGTGGGTATGTAGCTGCGCATGCTGATGTAGTAAAGAGGGTTTGCTCTTTCATGACTGCCACCCATGGTGGGGCCATCAGCAAGCTGCTTCTCTCCCCATGGTTCAGTCTTCTGTCTGTAACCTGAAAAAGCTGCATCTGATGACTTCCAAGATGCCTTCCAGCTGTCATTTTTTATTGGGATTCCAGATGTTTGCTGGAGATGAAAAAAAAACCAACTTAGTTCTGTTCTGTCAATGATACCACATCAGATTTTCCTCTCCTTAGGAACTGCCGTGTGACAATGACCCAAGAAATGCAGAATTTACATCTGGCTCAGCCAAAAAAGCACAGCGCTCCGTCTTCTCCCAACGCTGCCAAGCGCCTCTACAGGAACCTCTCGGAGAAGTTAAAGGGGAGCCACTCCTCATTCGACGAGGCCTATTTCAGGACCAGAACTGACCGGCTGAGCCTCAGGAAGACCTCGGTGGTAAGTACACGCTTTACTCTGGTCTTGCTTTGAGTTTTTCAGCTAGGTTTGGGTTTACGGCCATTCTAGGATGATTCCCGTTGACTTCAGAACCTGAGGTAGGCCATTAATAAATGGTGACAGAGTCAGGGACGGCAGGAGCTATGCATACCAGTGTGGTCAGCTAAAATTGGGGTGACTGTGAGATTAGCACTGCTTTTCCTTTCTCTCTGAGACCACAAAAACTAATCTCAGGCTGACAGACACGGAGTGTCTGATGAAATGGGCTCTGTGTGAACTCCAGCGTTTACACGCATATTGATGGGACTGTTTTGTTTGCTTATTTATAAGTATAACTCAGATGATTTCTAAAGGGAATCCAGACAGAATCTGGGCAAAAATAGATTAGCATAATGGACTTGATTTTTTTAAAACAAAGGAAGGAACAAAGGAAACCTTAAAAAGGAAAATATTGGGAAAGAGAAGTAGATAAAATCCTAGTCAAATATCCTGCCCTATGGACAATTCCCTAGAGCTGATTCCTAGAATAGAGCTGTGCTCAGAGAGTTTTTGATGGTCCCTGGTGGTTCCATGCTGGGCTGCTAACCACAAGGTCAGCGGTTCAACACCACCAGCTCCTCTGTGGGAGAAAGATGAGACTTTCTACTCCCATGAACAAGTACAGTCTCAGAAACCCAGAAGGGCAGGTTCTACTATGTCCTATAGGGTCACTATGAGTCGGCCTCGATTTGATAGCAGTTCATGGTTTTTGTTTTTGTTTGTTTTGTTGTTGAGTTTTACCAAAGTAGACCACCGGGTCTTTCTTTTAAGGGCTCATATGAGTGAAGTTCTAACCTCACAGCAGCCAGCTCTTTGCACAACCCTTAACTAAAACACAAAACAAAAACCTCATCGCCACCAGTGCTGACTCATAGCAACCCTGTAAGACAGAGTAGACCCGCCCTTCTGGGTTCCTGAGACTGTAGTTCTGTATGGGCGTAGAAACCCTCACCTTTCTCCCACAGAACTCCTAGTGGGTTCAAACTGCTGACCTTGGGCTTAGCAGTCCAATGCGGAACCCACTATGCGATCAGAGGTCCTCATAATTGGTTATAGAATCCTATGAACTGAGGTCAGAATGGTGTCAAAAGTAGTATGGATGGCATGATGGACATTTTCATATAGCGCCTTCTTAAAGGGGAGAGTATGCTATCAACATGCCGAGCAAGGGATTTCTGCAGGGGCTAACAGCTCCGTTTGTTTAACTTACAGCAGAGGCCCAGCCCTTCTCTAGATAGAAAAGTGCTGGAGTTTGCCAAACAAAATCCCGGGGAGGGAGATCACTCGGAGTGAGAGTGGAGATGGCACAAGAGACTTTAGCAGCACCCAGACTCGCAAGCACACCCACGACTGTAGACGGGACAGCATTTTCCCTTTGAAGTCATCTGTGCTTGAGTTTGTTTTCTCGTTTCAGATTCATCTTCTGGGAGGGCTTGGTGGTGGTGGCTGAGTCTTGGCCACAGAGCCGATTGTCGCCACAACACTTTTCCATTCAGCAGATTGTCCTGCAGCACAGAGGGCTGTCGGCCAGAATAGCTCTCTCCCCTGGGTCCCACTGTGGAAACAAGCAAGCATTTCCATAATAGCTTTGTATGTCTCTCAAATTCCAGTCATGTGTCATGTACTCAGCCAGGGCCGACCTGCAGCTTTTGATAGGGCGAATCGATTTGGGGTGAAACTAAAAATAATACCCAGCTGCCTCCACACTTGGTCGCTGAGGACTGGCCACATGTTAATCAGGCAAGCCCTGTGCTGGGCCAGCACCTTTTCAAGGGCCAAGCAGTTCTTGGAGCAGATACCAGATAGAGGCTCAACGAGCCCATCTTTTGCCCCCCTCCCGCGAGCTACAAAAATACACGTATCTGTCTGAGAGCATCCCTGAACTTTCCCCTTTGTTTACTAATCATCAGCTGAAATAACTTCTAGGTAAGACCCTCTTGTCTTTAGCTAGTTGTTGTTTTTTTCTGTCGGTAACTCGCATTCTAAAATTATTCCACTTCTGAAGCTCCCGGATCCGGAAACTGTTTTCCACCCAGCCCCCAAAACCCTCCTTGGAAAGTAATACTTGTGCCCCTCGTGCCAGGGCTCAGAAATATTCCCTGGTGGGACTGAGTGTTGGAAAGCATAAGGGTTCAGGGACCAAGGAGTCCAGGAATTTGGGCAGCAGCCTGCAGGGAGATGGGGGAAAGTGACCAGATCTTTTAGAATGATTGTTCTTGCATCAGCACGGTGGAGCTGGGCTAGGGAAGACTAGGACTCCCACCAGATAGCCCATCGCCATGGTCCACGCCAGGGAGCTGAAGAGTCTGAGCTGTAAAGAGACGTGGGACAAAAGGGGAGACGATGAACAAAACAGGGAAAGGATCCTCTCAGTTCTAAGTTAGTCATACTTTAAACTACCTGTGCCGCGTTGTCTATGCCAGCGTTTCCTAGACAGGGACCATTCAAATAAACGCTGTATTTATGTTAAAATCATTTCAGATGATTGGCCAAGATCATATGTAAAATAAATGCAATGAAACACATGTCCGGGGATCACACTGTATTTGAAGCATGCCAGAGATCTTAGAAAGGCACGGTTGCATGTCAAAAGGACTAAAGGTTGCATGAGGTCCTGTAGATAACTCAGGACACCGGGTCCCTTAGATAATGCAGGATAGCTCGGTAGAATCCGATGTTTACCAGATTTACTTGATTGGATGCTACCATCTTCATGAAGCGCCTTTTGGTGGTCCAGAAAAGAGTACTCCAGCAAACACGGGTTTGGGGAAAGCTACCTGTTCGCTCTTGATTGCAGACTATCTCTGCTCTCCTGTTTAAGTGCTTCCAGTGCTGCCGATCGATCCTATGCTTATTAGAAACGGTGCTGAGAAGGCCCAACTCAGAGACGGCTTTGGGGATGCAGGGAGGTGCTATAGTTACGTCACTGATGCAGTCTACAAAGTGCAGAACAGCTGCACCGCAAAGGCCTACCGCCCCGTGGGATGGCCTTGACCTGCCCTTTTCCTTCGCCTCCAGAATTTCCAGGGCAACGAAGCCATGTTTGAGGCTGTGGAGCAGCAGGACATGGATGCTGTGCGGATCCTCCTGTGTCAGTACACGGCCGAGGAGCTGGATCTCAACACACCCAACAGCGAGGGCTTGACACCCCTGGACATTGCCATCATGACCAACAATGTGCCCATCGCTAGGATCCTTCTGAGGACAGGGGCCCGAGAAAGTCCACACTGTAAGTAAACCGGAGACTAACAATATGTCCTGTTAAATCGAGATGCCAGCTTTATACAACCAAAGTATCCACCGCCGAGGTCACGCCTGCTCAGAGCAGCCCTAGAGGACAGACCCGAACTGCCCCCTGGCGTTCCCAAGGCTGTGAACCATGGCGGAAGGCGACTTCCACAGCGTTCTCTTCCAGAGCAGCTGGTAGACTTAAACTGCCAACTTTCTGGTGACTAGTCAAGCCCTTTTCCACTGAGCCATCAGGCTTTCTTGCCATCAAAATCGCCCTGGTTCATCTCCAGAGCAGGAGTGTTGGACCAAGTGAGTGGTGGCTTCATCTTAAGGACTTAAGGACTTAAGAAAAAGAAAAAAAAAAAAAAATATATATATATATATATATATATATATATATATATTCTTCACCATGTATATTTTTATGTGCACAGAAGTCCTTAAGATATATATATATATATCTTATATATATATATATATATATATATATATACATACGTACATACATATGTTGTGGTCACACTCAGCGCCCATCCGATCTTCATTCTAAATACAAAACACTGACTGCTAGTGCAAGGGGCCCTTCAGGGGACTTTATTCTAAGAAGTTATTCTGAGGTTTGAAATATTAAGATCGTCTGAGTGGGGAAGTAAGGTAACAGATTAATCTAGAAAAAGAATGTGTGTGTGTGTGTGTTCATTTCTTTTTGTCCACCATCAGTGGCTCCGGGGGTGGGGTATTCATTGTTCCTTTGTGTGTTCAATTAACGCTGCGTTCCCGGCACAGCTCTAGGTCCCAGGAATCCAGGGTAAACCAGACACACCCACAGTCTTATGGGGACATGCGTATATGTGGGGGAGGCTCCCATCGAGCAAGGAAGTAGATCAATTCATAAACGAGGGGCCTTCTCAAAGTTGGTGGAAACATTCCATTTTCTTTCTTTCTCTTTTAAAAATTGTGTTGGTATATAATCCGCGTGTCATACAATGTAATAGTTCACGCATCCATTCCATTCTTTCCCCACGAACTTTCTGAAGTCCACTCCCATGAACCCGAAGAGCGATCATAGCTATGAATCAAGTAGTGATCGGTGAGGAGGAGAGACTTTTAAATGAGGGAGGCAAGGAAAGCTGAATCTGCAAGGACCTGCACGAAGTGAGCCAGGAGAGGAAGGGGGAACGTCTCCAGGCAGAGGGACAGCCAGGGGAGTCGGGAGGAGCTGGCCTTCTCCAGGAACCAGGAGGCCAATGTGACTAAGGAAAGGTGAGCCCAGGTGGGAGTCAGAAGGCACTGGGGCCCAGGTAGGCTGGGCCTTGCCGGTGGTGGTAAGATGCTGAGCTGCTTCTTAGTGTATAGGGAGAAAGTGGGACAGGGTGTGGTGCGGGGTAAAAGAGCATCGCCACGTCCAGGACTAGGAGTTGCTGAACAGGTGTGCAGTGAGGACCCAAAAGCAAACCGAACTCACTGCCATCGAGTCCACTCTGTAGAACAGGGTAGAGCTGCCCTGAGGGCTTTCTGAGACTGTGCCTCTTTAAGGGAGTAGAAATCTCCCTAGGGGCTTCTGGTGGTTTCAGACCATAGACCTCAAGGTAGCAGCCCATCTCGTAACCACTACACCCCCAGGGCCCCAGAACCCCTTGCTGTCTGGGAGATTCTGACGCATGGAGACCCCAGGGATGTTAACCATGGACCGTGCTCTCTGGGATTTTCAATGGCTTATTTTTTTGTATGAAGATGGCCTGGTCTTTCTTCCAAGCCACCCCTGGGCTGACACCCAGGTGAAAGCGAATGCAACAGCCCCCATTGCATCCAGCCTTGGAGATGGTGAAAACCCACAGAGCAGCGTAAACGTACAACCACAACCACAAATCAGAGTCTCAAGAAAAGACCAGGTGAACTGGGCTGACAGAACCGGGAGGGATGCCCCAAGACTGTGCCTCCGGGCAGCCTTCTGATCTGGAAGGGAAGCCTGTCTGGGAGACCCAGCATGAGGCAGGCCCATTCATAAACACCACCCCCGGGAGGGAACTGCCCTTGAGAACTGTCAAAGGGACTTGGATATGGAGGCTGAGCAGGCTGGGTAATCTGGACAATAGGAAATGAAGAGGAACCCCAGGGAGAAATGGGGGGAGTGCTGACACACTGTGGGGGTACAGCCAGTGTTGGGGAACACTGCATCTACAAATTGGTGTACGGGAAACGGATTTGCACTGTCAACTTTCACCTGAAGTACCTCGAAAGATTAACATCTGTAAGAGGGGGGAATCTGGCAAGGTGGTGAGTGGACCAGGCAGGCAGCAGGCACTGGATTCAAAATAAAGAAAAGCAGACCCAGGAGGAGAGCATTTCAGTGTTCCAGGAGAGATGCTGAGGGCTTAGACTGGGGTGGGAGGGACAGTGCGGAAGATGTATTTTTTGGCGTGACATTATTAAGATATAATTCACATACCATTCAATTTTTTTAATATTGAAAAGATAATTATTGTCTCTTTATTTATTAAATAATTTTACTGGGGGCTCTTACAACTCTTGTTACAATCCATATATCAATTGTATCTGACATATTTGTACATATATTCCATCGTTCTTTTCTAGACCTTTGCTTTCCATTGAGCCCTTGGGATCAGCTCCTCCTTTTTCCCCCCTCCCACCCCAGCCCCCAACCCTCTTAGCCCCTCGATAGATTATAGATTGTTATCATTTTCAAATCTCACACCAACTGCTGTGTCCCTGCTACAACACCTAAGACTATATCCCCCAGGGCCTGGGCCCCCCAAAAGAACTCCCGGGTCAAAGTGTGACTCCTTTCTAAATGGAACTGGCAGGTTTGGAGGAATGGGCAAAGTAAGAGTGGACAGAGCTCCAAAAGTCTTCTTTGCTGCCTTCAGATTTATTCTGCCATCATGTCTGTCCTAAAGATCCAGGGGGAGAGGGGCGGAGAAAGAATTGGTGGGTCTGCATATGGAGGATGCAGACTGAGCCCCATTCTATGGGAACAAGGAGACCATTCATGCAATGTTGCCCCGGCCATCCTGCAATGACTGGATGAAACATTAGGCCAGCTTACCTGAGACGGTACGGAGAACTCTGCATTTTCCATGAAAGCTGTAAGACCCCCAGCCTGCCAAAGCTCCTTTGTGCACATTTAAACACCCATAAAAGAGCTCAGAAGTCCAAAGCAGTGAGTTTACGCTAGCCCTGATTTCCCTTGTTCCCTCTGGGGTGGTAACCGAATTATTATCACCAAGTTGTGAACACAGTGAGAGATGGGCCCACCGATCAGCCTCTGGGCAATAGCCCGTCATGGGTAATACCACATCGGCATCACCTGGGCCACCCAAGAAGTCAAAGAGAAGGTAGCATCTGAGGTGCACATGAACTTGGAAACTGCAGAGGACGATCGATTGGGTATCTATGATCTATCCTCACACATCAGCCCCAGTCTTCACACTGACCCAGCAGAGTGTTGCGATGTTCTAAACTCCACTTTGAATGTGTGGAAATTGTGACTCTGGAAAGTTAAGTGATCGACCAAAGGTGACACGTCTAACCAATGAATAGAGAGATGGGACACCAATGATTGGAAACTGCACAAATACCCTGCCTTCCCACAAAGCTGAGATGGAGGACTGGGGACAGAGGGGCCTTGTGTTTGTCCCTTCTGCACTGCTAGCTGCATTTGTACGATTTCTTTGCTCTGTTCTGGGCACAGGCAGGCTAGAAGTAAACAATCCGTTTGGGGGGATGTTAAACTCACTTTTTGCATCTAGTACAAAAGAAATAGAACTGCTTCTTTGCGTGAGCATAAACCAGCCCAGGAGAAAATCCACAACCTGCCAACCAGAACCAGATAAGCAAACACCTGCCACAAATGGTTCCCTAGAAGCTGCGGAGGCAGGATGTAAGGGAAGCAAGATCATGATGACGGCGTCTTTGAGTGCTGTGCACAGCCTGCATTCTCTTACTGGCTTCTCACAGGTGGCTAGTGAATTTGGAGTTTTCTTCTTTATTTTTACAGAAAAGAGTAAAACACAGGAAGCCAAAGGTTGTATTCAAAAGTACAATACTAATATCTGGCCAAGCCCTAATTTGAACCCAGGGTTTCTGTATTCAATCATTTGGCATTTTGGAAAACTTTGACCCCCTGATTGGCAGGCAGCGTCTGCTCAGCTTCTTCCTTTCCGGTCTTCCTCTAGTGACCGTGAAGACTTCAAAGTAGGGCGCAGTTTCTGATAAAGTACGTTTTCTTTGTTCTCTTCCTCTTTTATTCTCTTCTGAAAGACTAGTCCAATACTCTTCCCTACGCCAACCCAGGGCACAAAAACAAACCCAGGAGAAAGTGCTCAGGGACCATCTATTGTCCTCATTCCGTAATAGCAATCACCAAGACAGAGCTGCCTTGAGAGACATGACTCCTAAGCTATTGGACAGGTTCAGGTTCATCTTCCAGTCTTTAACCTGACAGTCTGGCCACAGAGTTCTATACCTGATCAAAGATTCTGTGGAGCAAAAGTGGGCAATTAGAGAACCGAATTTCAAGTCCACGGGGAATTCAGAATTTCTCCTCCTCCTTCTCCTCCTCCTCCTCCTCCTGTCTACATACTCCCTTTATTTATGACTTCATTCCTTTAGCTGGTGCAATTATAGTTGAGTTTCTACCCCATCTCAGTCGATCCCCGAATTATACTTACCAGCAAGAGTTTGGACGCTGTTCATTCCAGTTCCGTTTTCTTTCTTTTTTTTTAACAGTTTTCTTGGCCCTTCACCTACACGTTCTACAATTCAATCGTTCAACCATATCAAGAAGAGTTGCGCACGCATTACCACAATCCATTTTAGAACATTTTCTACTTCCCGGTACTCCGTGTTACTCATGGAATTTTCCCCCCCGGGAATCCAGAATTTCTAGAGCCGTGCAGGCTGATTAAATGATATTTAAACCGTAAACCAAATATCCGCAGTCTTCTTGAAACGAGACATAGCTGTTTACCAAATAAC